CATGGTGTTTGTTTGCAGAGGAGCTGCGTATGTGTGTGTGTGTTCATGGAGCTGTCAGGAACACAGATCACAGGGAAGCAACGCTCTGAATGGAGCCGGAGAGAAGCGGGAATGTCGGGGAGGAGGGTGGCGGTTCCCACAGGAGGAGAATGGTCAGTTCCAGAATGGAGGAAAGAACAAGAAACGGATGAGATGAGATGGAGGTAAAAAGGTTAGAGGGGGTCAGGATGGTGGGTTTCTGCTAAAACCAAAAGGGAAGGTGAGCTACCAGGTGAGAGCGAGGGGAAAAAGACAGGATCATATCAATCATAAGGTTTCAGAGGAAAGTGGCGGTAAACGAGTCCAGACACCTCTGTTCTTGTTTTTCTGTTGCCCCCCCCCTCCTCTCCTCATTCTGCTGTTCTCATTCTTTTACCCCCCCCTCTTCCAACCACCACCCTCCCTTTCCTCCCTCCCCCCTCGCTCCCTCTCTTTCTCTTTGTGTGTTTGCCTGGACAGCTGCCCAGTTCCATACACAGGGAAAAATGAAACACTCTAACCGCTGGGCTCGCTGCCAAATAAAAGGCTGCGAAAAACTATTTGAAGGGCAGCGCAGTTGTGTGTGTCTGGGCACGAGAATTTCTATGTCTGTGTGTGTGTGTGTTTGCTTAGGCCCGTGCACGCGTGTTTGGTGGGTTGTTGGGATTTGGGTGTGCCTGTTTAGGGTGTTCTTTTCCCAGTACAGTGGTGCCGCTTGCGTTGATCGGTCCGACTGTGTAAGAGAGGAAGGGGAAGAAGCTTCGGCTTGTCATCGGACAGTGAAACAAGAGTGCAGGGTTCACATGCAGTCTTGAAAAGTTTTAAAAAGAACAGCTGTATTTTCCAAACCTAGATAAGTGGGGCGAAAAGGAAAAAAAAAATGCATTTAATTTTTATTCCAGTGCATGGAAAAGTCATCAAAAAGCATAAACAGAAAGCGTGATCCTTATCGTAGTGGGTGTGCAGTGTTGGTATTTTTTTTTTAATTGTACCATTTTTAACTCCATCTACACATCAATTGTTAACAGCTTCACAGGAACATTCCCATGGTTTGATGCTAACATCATCTGCAATGGATCACACACAGGAACCTCTTTCTGCTTCCCCAACATGGCTGTTTGAATCTCTGTTTAGCACCGGTTTGGAAATGCATGTCATCCATGATTATAAATTATTTTAACATAGTTTGGTATGGAAGGAATATGTCTGGATTTGGTTGTTTTATGGTTTCCTCTACCACCATGTCTCTTGGTGGGGATGTTCTTACTGGATGCGTAAAATTAAACCTCTTCCACATCATTCAGCAAGAAATGTGTAATCATGAATCAGAGGTCTGATATTGGTGGGTTGACTTGACCCCTCTACTCCATGTTGGTATTTTTCAGTTGATTGCAAGGCATAAAGTACAAATTAAAGCATGTGCTTAAGTGTGATTGAAGGCGTTTTGCATGGCCTTAATAGTTCATTGCAGGTTTAGGACAAAATATTATAAATTATTATATAGAGGTTTTCTCAAAGGCCAAAAAGCAGCTGTGAAATGAGAATGGTGTGTTCAAGGTGATGCATAGTTTATATTTCCAGCAGAACAGTTGGTTTTAGACTCATCCAACCAAATCGTCCTCATATCCTCTACTTGGCTCTAACTTCCCAGTCCTGGACTAAAGATTATGTCCAAATCAGAAACCACCTTCTGCATTGCATTGTGTCTTTATTTATAAATCTATAAAATATTTATTTATAAAATCTGCCGTATAAGGCTGTAGATTCAATGCTGTAGATTTAAGACTGGGAAAGAGTGGACATTTTGACAGCTCTTTTTCGGAACACATTTAACACCCAGATTGCACTATACAAAAGCCTGCTGAGAGGCTTAGGGTGATGCATTCAGGCGCACGCCCACATATCTGTCGGTAAATATATGCTGAGTCATTTGCAGAGTGCCTCTCAGTTGTATGATTGCAGCACTTAGTCACATATTATCCATGACCTCCTGTGCTGCTGCGCGCTGACCTTATCTGATGGTTACATCACTAATAAAAAAAAAAAAAAAGGAATGTGCAGCTCCAGAACAGCCACCAGTCTATGCTGGAAAGGAGGTGAGCATCTTCAGGGTTTTTTTTGATCTGAGACCAGAGCAGACACTCTTAAGGAGAGAAAATCCAGATCAGGAACTTGGTGCTGGTGTTTTGCCAATCTTTATCCTTAGCTACTTTCTCCTGCCTTGGAACATGTAGGCAGCAGACACCATGGGGAAGGTGTAGGACTGCAGGTCTTGTGCTTGTTAAAGGTCAGAGTCCATGCTTATACTGGTGTCCTAATTTCCTCACTGCTGCCCCCTACTGCAGGTTAACAGTAATAGAACAGAGGTAAAGTCCATTTTTATACAACAGTTGTACTCCTCTTTAACAATTTCCTGCAGCTTTTGTCGATCTAAGGTTTTCTCTCAGACTTAGGAGCCACAGGGAGCATGCAAGGAAGGTGGAAAATTCAAAACGCTCTGAGCCTCGGTAAGGCATCAGGTACAAACTACAGCTGGAAAGCTAAAGACAACTATTTCTGTATCAGTTGTTGTCTAAAACTAATTTGGCGTATTGCTGCTCTTTTTGATACTGTTATAAAATGCATTTCTGATATTTGTCAGATTTTATAGATCTCGCGCTGGCCCGTGCCTATTCTCAGCTGAATGCCCGTCAGGTCGTTCAGGCAGAGGATTTTGACCTTATCTGGAAATAAAGAGCCAAGCACAACTCTGAGATCCACTTTGTTGACTAAAACAGCCACGAGAGCCGGCAGCTCAGTCTTTATGACCGCTATTTATATTTGCCTGTGTGAATATCCAACGATGTGTACGTTTTCCCTGGAAATGCCTCTCACACACAGACAGAGACACGGAGGTGGGGGATGAAGGAGAGGGAGGCGGAGGAAATGTAAGAACAAAAAGCTGAACTGGTGCCAATATAACCCAGGCTCAACCAGGAAAAAGGGGAGGTGTGTTGTGGTGGTGGTGGGGGCAGTTTTTCTCCCTGTCTGCTCTCATGTCTTTGCTGCGAGACGTCTCCACGCCTGCTCTTTTTTTATTATCTATCTGCGGTTGGTTTGTGGTCAGGGGAGAGGATGTGTATTATACATCCGTGTGTGTGAGACAACACTACCCCCCCCCCCCTCCCCCAAGTCTGTCTCTGTCCTGGTTGCCCTAACTTAACCTGAAGCAGCAGGTTTTGTAGAATGGGTTAAATGAGAAAGCGAGCGTGTATCGGGTGCCCGGGTGCCTGTCATCGTACTCCTCTCTGGACCTGCCGGCTCTCCTCTCTGGTGTCAGTGCCTGCACATGCACACACTCTGTGAGCTTCGCCATAAACGACACTGTGCATGTTCACTGAAGTACATGCACTTGCAGGCTTTGTTAATCATTTACGCTGCTTGTGTTTGTTTGCTTGGGTGTGTTTTCTTTCCTTTCCATGTGCCGAGTGCTGTGCTACTTGGCGGTTGTGTGTGTGTGTGTGTGTGTGTGTGTGTGTGCTTTTGTCTGGAAACAACTCTCACTATTTGACTACCAACTGGAAACAAGATGGCATGAAAAGTGTTGTTGAAGGGACTGAGCAGATCAAAGCAGGAGCAAACGTCAAAATAAATAACGAACGAAATACAAATATTTGAAGTATGTATTGCATGTGTGCACAGCCATGTATTTGCAGAGCACCTGCTCTTATACCCACATTCGGCATTTCTTTCTTGAAAGGCAGGATTTTATAACTGGCTTCGACTGTGTGGAAGTCTGAGTGTGCGCTGGTGAATGCTTGTGCATGACCATGAGAGGTAAGCCTGTGGTTAGGTTACATCTCCCTGCTGTGCTGCAGAACAGTGTCTTGTTGCGTCATACTGAGTCTGTTAATAAGAGGCTAAACCACAAAGGCCATCCGCTGCTCTATTTCTCATCTTCCAGCGGCACAGTGATTATGCAGCAGTGATATGTTGAGCAAGGCTGTCTTGTTTGATGCAGAACATTGAGATTTTAAATCCTCGGTTATGCATGGACAGATTTTAGTTATGTATCATGTACAGTATAATGCCAAAGCATTAAAACCCATTACACTCGTACATATGGACTCATTACATCCACAACCTTTGTGTGTTTTATTGCAGTTTTATGTGAAGTGGAAAGAAGTATTAATGGTTTTCAGCAGATTTTGGAATAAAATCTGGAAAGAGTTGCATGAATGTGTACTAAACCTCCCTCAACCATTATTTTTGTAGAGGCACCTGTTTTTGCCCCTGGTAGTTTTGCTCTTTCAGAGACTGAAACGTTTGCATTTAGCGGTTGGTTGCCATGGATTTTATTTGGGGTTACCAGAAAAAATGGGATTGATAACAAATATGAAACAGAAAATCATGCATACATTAAAGCCAGATTATTGTAACCCAGAAAAAAAGGGGAAAGTGTGCAACGGGCATAGATGTGCAGTCCTGTTAAACTAGAATTAAGGTGGATCATTGTTCACTGTAGAGAATACATGTTGAGAATTTCTTTTGCATGACTTGAGGTAAACAATACGAAAACAACACATGACAAATGGATTCAAATCTGGGTTTCAAAGGTGAGGTGATGAGGCTGAGTTCATCTACTGTGCATAATGCTGTGAGCTCAAACATATCCAGCTCTACCCACCCCTGCTCTCATGCAACATCCTTGCCACAGGAATTTAATTGCTCTGTAAACAAGCCCTTTGTTTTGTTGTGCATTGTTTGCTCTTGCACAAAAGATGTACTAAAACCCTAGGCTGTACAGTGAATGGAGATGCATGTCATATCAGAGCACAACATTTTACCGATTTAAAGGCTGACTAAACTGGCTGAATAATCACAGTAGTCATTCTTATTTGCTCATGCAATTATTGGTTTGTCTCTTGCAGCTGTTTGCTGTAAAGCTCCTTTCCGATGCTCAGAATAAACTGTGGGATTCTTTTGTCTCCTGTTGTCTCCAGACTTACGAGCGCCAGTTCAGAATGCCTGAACAGAGAGACGGAGGTCTTCTACAGCTACTGGGAGATCCCGCTCCACCCAAACACCAGCCTCGCAGTTCCCTCCTCTCAAACACACAGCACAGCCTTGCTCAAAAGTTCCAGGATACTCATACGCAGCAACACCATATTGGTGCAGGCTGGATCACATCTGCAGCACCTTTTTCTTCTCCGGGCCATCCAGCCGACGCTGAATCAGCCGGAGACTTGGCAGGAGGGATCAGAGCTTCATCGGTCGACCCGACGCAGCCTTACTCTGCAACGGCGACTCCAAGCCCATCTCCCCAGAGATCCATGACTCCAGACCTGCAGCTGCCAGTGGTTACAGATGCCAGTATTCTCAACCTCACCTCACTGAGCAGGTATTGTTTACTGTAACATGGTTAGGATGATGTTTCTTTTTCCTTTTTCAGTCTTAATCTAATATTTCTTTCATGCATCTCCCTCTCTACAGGGGAAAAGGTTTGCAAGAGGTCAGCGAACAGCTCTTTGGGAACATCAAGAGGAAGTACGGAAGAAAAGACTCTCAGAGGATGTTTGCAACCCCCAACAGTGCTGATGCACCTTGGGGAAGGCAGTCTGAAAGAGAATTAGAAAGTCCAGCTAACTCTGAGGAGAGGCAGGGGTACAGGCAAGAGGGGAGCACTGGGCAGTGCCTAGAAGAAAGGGAGGAACGGAGAAAAGAAGAACGAGAGCAAACAAACGCAGGGAGGAGAAGTGAGGAAGAAGAGAGAGTGATTCCCATGCAGGTGGAGGAAGGGAAAGGCAGAAAGAGGCGGAGGAGGCCTTCATTCGATGAGTCGTTTTCCATGGAGGAGCGGTCCCAGCAGCAAACGCTAGATACTGCAGAGAAATTCCAGGCTGGACCTTCAGAACCTAAAATGGCACATAAGGTAGAGGCTCACAAAAACGAGTCCCGTCTTTCAAGTCAGTGTGATGGGAACCAAGACAGGACAGACAAGGCAGATAAAGCTGAAAGGAGGGATAAAGGAGACAGAGCGGAAAGAGGAGAGACGATCACATGTGGGCTCGACCAGGAATCTGATCTGGGCTCAAACAGGTTGAAGAAGAACCCAGTGGGTCGACCCAAGGGCATCACAGATACCCTGAAACTCAGAGAGGCAGCATACAATCAGATCAACAAACCCAGTCTTAGCATGAACCCAAGACTCCCTAGTCCCAGCTCTAGGGTTGGCGCAAGTCCAACTTCCAGCCCTAAATCCAGGATTAGCATTAGCCCAAGTCCAAGTCCTAGACCCAGGATGGACCTGAGTCCGAGTCCCAGCACTGGCAGCAGCCCTGCAGCCAGTTGCAGGCAAACCAAGGCCAATGAAAGGTGCTCCTACCTGAAAGCTAAAAGTCATTCAGCTCTCACCTCCCCTCAGAGAGAGAGCATGGGAAGCCCCTCTGCTCTTACAGATCCGCCCTCTGCCTTCCCAATCACCCCCTCCAGCCCGCTCTACACCAACACTGACAGCCTAACGGTGCACGCTCCCATCAAGAGGAAACGTGGACGTCCCAAGAAGCAGCCCCTCCTGACTGTTGAGACCATTCACGAGGGGACCTCCACTTCACCTCTAAGCCCGCTGGCGAAAGAATCAAACCCAGCACTGAACCGCAGGAGAAAGATGCACATGCTGAACCCACTAATCCATGGGGCCACCTCATCTCCCAGCGACGGTTCCAGTGGTCTGAAAGTAAAGCGTGGGAGAGGGCATCCCCGCACAGTGAACAGGACAAAGCTTGGGAAAATGCAGAGCATCCTGAACGAGATCCTCTCTGGATCCGGTCAGAATGGCACCCTGGCCTTAAAGTCAGCCTCCTCTCCGGTTACCTCAGCCATGAGCGCCATGGCGACCACCATTGAGGCCCGATTGGGTAAACAAATAAATGTCAGTAAAAGAGGTACCATCTATATCGGTAAAAAGAGAGGGCGTAAACCCAGAGCAGAAACCCAAGTTTCAGTCCTCAAAACCAGCCGGGAAAAACCACAGATGTCCCTCTCTATGTCCAGTCCGTATGACAGCCCTGCAGTGCCTTCCTCCAACTCATCTCCCAGTTCAAGTGCTCCTTCCCTAAGAGCCAGCAACACAGATGCCACCATGCCAAGCTTGCAGCCCATCTCAGCCCTGCCCAGCAAACCCTCAGGAAGAGGCTTCCTCTCAGGGGGCTGGAAACTTTCTCCTCCTCGCCTTCTGGCCAACTCCCCCTCCCACCTGTCAGAGGGGGCATCAGTGAAGGAGGTGACCCTATCGCCCATCAGCGAGTCCCACAGTGAGGAGACTATCCCCAGTGACAGTGGGATCGGGACGGACAACAACAGCACCTCTGATCAAACCGAAAAGGGTCCTGCCTCTCGTCGCAGGTAGAGTTAATTATTTAAGCCCTAATTGATAAATAACAAATCACATCCAGACTCTTTCATTCTCCTTTGGTTTACTCTCCCTATTGTGCCTAAATTTGAAATTAAACATCAGTGGTTTTTGCTTAGATTCTGTGACACAACAACACAGTATGGTGCAAATCCGTGAAGATAAAGGAAAATTACATGGTTTTCAGCATAGTGTACATGCAGACATGTGTGGCATACATTTGTATCTTCAAAACTCAGATTTTTAGGTCATTCGCTTTTGGTCCAGATTTTGATCAGGCCATTCAATCTAATTTGTAAATTTGTGACTCTGGCTCCAGCTTCTGACCAAGTTTAGCAGCTTTTCTGTTTCTGCTGGAGAGAAATAGCCTCAAAGAAAAACATTTTTAGTCCAACCTGAGTGAGCACCTTGTTCCAAAAGTTCTCTTGTGGAAAACTTAAGAAGATCTTCTTCTAGCTTTATTTCTGCTGCTATTTTATAAAGGTTCGACTAATAGTTTTCCCTCCACTTGACAATCATGCTCATGTTGGTCTCTCACATTAAACTCTAATAGAATGCATTGAAGTTTCTGGTTGTAACCTGATAATATTTGGAAAAAATGGAGGGATACACAAAACAAATCCCGATGCACTCATTTATTGTTTACAATGTACTAACTTTGTGCCTTGTTCATTCAGGTACTCCTTTGATCTTTGCGGGTTTGAATCCCCGGAGGCTGCCGCCCTGGACACATCCAATAGGGGGAGCAGCAGACCACGCTTGGAGCGAAAAATTAGTGCGGTGGACAGCTATTTGTCGCAGCAGGAAAAAAAGCAAAAACATCATCGGCGGAAGAGGAAGTGCCTGCAGACCAGGGACCATCTTCATTTTCTCTCTGAACTAGAAGAGGTTTGTAACAGGATGGTGACACATGCTCCTTCTGTGATTAACTAAGAAGCACTAAATAGTTATTTTTAATTTTCTTTCACCTCCCAGGTTGTGTTAAAGTTCCAGCAGTTGCGAGTTTCTCACAGGCTGTACACCTGCTACCCCCAGCATCCTTACCCATCTATTTTCCGGCTCAACTTCCACCATTATTACCCGCTCGGCTACGACTCCTACGCCTGCGACTCCAGCTCATACCTGCGCAGGAGCGCTGACCTGAAGGCTAAAAGGAGACGAGGCCGTCCAGCCAAAGCCAGTGAACCGATCCCATCCAAACTGCCGTTTGTTCCAGGATATAGCTATTCCCTGGGTGGGGGGAATTACTATGCAGCGCCGTATCCAATGCCTTACCCACCTCCTCTCAATCTAGGCTACTTCTCCCCAACGCCGCCATTCTATCTGCCCCACCACTCGCTTGGACCTGTTCCTCCATCTCCCTTCATGAGGCCTGCTGTCCCACCTCCGAAAGCTTTCCACACAAGTGGGCACCCCAAACTGCAGGTGGGGGCGAAGATTCGCAGTGCTAGTGGCTCACTGCAGGGCCAAGCTGTTAGAGCGGACGCTCTGGGCTCCCTGAGCAGTGGCAGTGCAGGAGGGGTCCGTCTCCATAAGAGAAAGCACAAACACAAGCACAAGCACAAGGATGAACCTCTCCTTTCCCCACGGGACCGGCAGGAGTTGGGTGGACTTTTTAGCGGGGCCAAGACCAACGTGCGACTCGGCGTGCTCAGCGACAGGCGGGACCTGGGTGCTCAGGGTTCTTCGAAGCATCTGGAGAAGCAGAGGGGCAACGGCAGAGGATCAGGCCTGGGAATGTTCGAGTCGGACCAGCTGTCTGCGCGCGCTCACACCGACGGCCAGTTTCACTCCTGTCAGACTGCGCAGCCTGGGAAGGGCTTCATGAGCAGCTATGGCAGCCAGTCACAGCGGTCTGAGTCAGCCTCTGACCTTTTCTCGGGGTTACGGGAGGATGAGTGTGCTGGGAGGAGCAGAAGGACTAGGCTGACTATCTTCGGAGATCAGGGCTTAATGTCTTTCCAGACGGCCAGGCAGGAGCCGGAGCAGATGAACGAGTGCTCTAGTCCAGCCCTCACTGGTAAGGATTGGATTTTAACCCTTCTGTTCATTTCTAGGAATATGCAAACACAACCACTGGTAAATTTTAAACAATGCATGCTGCAGATGAATATGACTGAGACTTAAACAGATTTATTTAGTCTTTTTGTATACACAAGTTTAAACAAGAAGAAATTTCGTTAAGAACCGCTCTGTAGACAATTTCATTTTTTAATGTGCAGCCTTGAAAACAGTAAAAAAAATACATAAAAACATATAACTGTATATTTACAGTTCTAACATTTCAGTTTTTTTTGTTTATAATATATATCATATGAGGATATCCTTAAAAGGTTTTAGAAATTTAAATTTATTAAACAGATCTACATGTTGTCTCTGCTATTTTATCATTAAAAAACACAACTAGTTTTTCTAATTAGAATATTATGAAGAAAACTAAAGGATTTTTTTTATTTTATTTGTTATTGACGACTTGTCTATACCTACCTTATGCCATTTCCCCATTCCAAAGTAATGTTGTTATAAATGTGTAATGGAAAATGTTAAAATAAAAATAAAAAAAGATAAGGAGCAGGAAGCTGATGCAGTGGGGAAAAGGTATTAACATAAAAATAATAAAAGCTAATAAATGAAAAAACAACAACAAAAAGCATTGCATCCAGATCCATTTCATTAAAAATAAAGTCCGAAGGAAGGCGATTGGGTTCATTCACAATGTGCGGACTGCAATACCTGCAGTTAAAGCCACCTTAGCGTCCATTAAGTTGCAGCAGATCCACGGTCCAATCCCCTCCAGGCCACGCTGCACTGATGCATTCATTCCTGCAAAACAGGATCTGACCAAATATTGGGAGCATCCAGAACAGTATGTAGATTTTAGAAGGGAGACTGTCATGTTTAAAACTAAACTATTTGGTTTCATTAACTTGTTAGTCCTATTTATCAACAGATTTTCAAAAACATATTTCATGTCTGACTTGCATATTTAGATTTCAGATCGTTGCTCCAAAAGCAAGAAAATGTGTTTTTTATTCTAATTCGCTGAGGTGAATGAGTGTGTGTGTATGTATATATATATATATATATATATATATATATATACCGGTGTATATATATATATATATATATATATATATATATATATATATATACATACTACCCTCTTGCCCCTGTTCTGCTCAGTTGACCCATTCAGATGGAGCTAAAGGGGGAATCCTCAGTCTCTTGTAGTCACTTGACAAAACCCTCATGGATTCAGTAGTTCCTGAAGTGAAGTTTCCTTGCGTTTTCGTCCAGCACTTGTTCATTGATGAAAACTGCATGTAAACAACAAAGCCCAATCTGCTGCCCCCCCCTTCACTAATTGCTTCAACACCAGCGATGGGAGAAGTGATGCACAGGCGTTACCAAGCAGCTGTGCAGGATTTTAACCTGCCAAGGTTATTGGAGTGTTAACATGGGCAGATTGAGATCACTCTCTAGCTCACTGATAACGGACATCTGTTATGCGCTGGTTCTGTAGAGGCAGGAAGAGTCTGGAGGGGGGTCTTGAACAAAGATAAAGTACCTGTAAATGTTTGCGAATAAACTCTGCAAAGCATTATCAGCTCTTTTAGTGCAAAAAGATGCAGCTCAGGTCCACATTCTTACAGAGTAGTGTGTAATTTGTTACATTCAGTCTTTGAGCACATCTGGCTGAGGATAAAGAGAACGTAATGCACGGGAGACAACTATAATTCACCCATCTCTACGCCCCCCCCCCCCTTCCTCTTTTCCTTCTCTCCTGCCAATGCGTTCGCCAGAGATATATTATTCACACAGTATGATTTACTTTCTACAGACACGCCGTAAAAGGCTCTTGCCTGTGTTAAAAGAGCTGGCTGGGAGCCAGTGGTTTAATGACTGGGGCCCAGTCCAGTGGTGGGGAGGAGAAACCAGGGGCTCGGTTAAAACGCAACCCCCCCCCCCCTTCCAATCACCCTAGGGGATCCAGGACGGATGACTCATATGCACAGGCCCCTAAACCCACCCCCCACCTCTTCTATATTATCGTTATAGTACCTCATCTACTCCAGCACATCCTTACCTCTTTTTTTTTCTCCTCCTGTTTTTCTTTTTCCGCAGCTCTTGCCCTTGCTCTCCTCCTTTACCTTGCTCCCACAGCTCTCACATCCACCCCCCCATCTCTCCCTTTCCTACTTATTTCCTTTCTGCCTTTTCCCCTCGCCCCCCCTCCCCCCCAGATTACCTCCTCTATTCCCCATTCCCGCTGCCCCCTCTCTAGCATGACTTACTGCTTCACTTCACAGCCTTAGTCCAATTAAAATACAGGCATGTGTGCATATGAGTGCTGCTGCACACGCGTGCACATGTAGGAATATACACAGGCAGGGAAGAAAAAAATATCCACATCTGCAAAATCCACAACGGATACCAAATTCAGTGTATCTGAGCATGTGGCTAAGATTTTGTTTTTGCACATTAGACATAGATCATGTAAGATACTCACAAGGTGATAACATTTAATGAAGAAGGCAACATTTCACGATTTCATAATATATTGTAAATTCGCTCCGTTTATTTAAAGCTAAGCAAAAAAATTACGTAACTTTTTCCCCCATAACATGAGTTTATTAATTTATTTGAATACAACAGGCCCTGCCTTTATTTCCTCACCTCATCTTTTTGTTTCTTTTTTTCATTAGAAATCTTTTCAAAATAAATCTGCATCAATGCTGTGAAGTACAAATTGAACTGTTTGAAACTATAACTTTTTAAAACCTTGACATCTGGAACTGGTAATTGAATAATGGTAAAAAAATGAGACAATCTTTTTTCGTTGACAGTTCTCTATTCTTCCAAAACGTAAAACTATCTGTCCAGTTTTCATTTGGTGATTATGGGTGTGCTGACACATACAAAAGGAGGACTTAGGTTTATCTGAGTGGCTCTAAAATTGTTTTTAAATACAGTTTTTGCTGCCAGAATTAAAACATTAACCTCAGCATCTCATTAGAAAGACTTTAAACCACAGGAATAATTTTCTGGAAGATTTTTTTGGCTTTGTTTACAACTCTGGTCTCCGTCAAATGTTACCGCAGAAATAAATGCATGATTCTGTTTATTTAATGACACAATGCTCATAGTATGCAATTAAGTTGTGTAAAATAGAAGCTGTGGGTTACAATATATAAGCTAAAGAATGCCTTCTCCTACTGGAGCTGTTAATAAGATTAGTACACATTTCCCATTAAAACCTTTAGATGTAAGGAGAAAACGTGGACAGCAAAGGCCATCTTAAAAACATAAATAGGAGGGAGAAAAATAGAACACATGAGGGGAAAAAGATAAGGAAAACATGCACACGTGAGACTCTGCCAAAGCAAGATGCTGGAGGGGTGAAGATCAATATCTAAAACATCTGGAAAGCAGCAAGTACAGCCAGGAAGGAAAATTCACATGTCGAGCTACAACATCTGCACGGACAGACTATCTGAAATACCTTTCATCATATTCCTGTATTTTGAGGATGGCTTTATTCTGTTAGAGACCTACTGTCAGATACGGGGCAGCGTGTGGAGGTGGGGACGCCTCTCCGTTCCTCAGAGAAACAGGTCCTCGGTGCTGTAGAGCCCCTCGCGCCTCTGAAGGTCATCGGTTTTATGTTCCGTGTATGAAGCTCATAAATTTCTGCTACTTTGCAGTGTGCTTGTGTGCGTGTGCGCTCACCCCTGTGCAGCTCATAAACTGCTGCTACTGAGTGCTTTCTGCAGTTACTAATTTCACTGCCTCTCCTAACTTTTTTTTTTTGGCAACCGTACAGTGAAGATTTCCAGCATACAGATGATGTGATTTGGTTTTTAAATTACACTATTAAAAGTTGTTGCTGATTTGGATTTTTAAAAAAGGGTTTCCTCACATTGTGAAGGAAAAATAGCTACTCAGAAGAAGCCTACACTCTCCAAGCACATTGTAGTTTTTACATATTTCTGGTTTAGATTCCATAAAAGTTAAAAAATGTATCCACTGGACTTGGTTTCCAAGGTTTGAAGACGTTTCGCTTCCCCTCCAGGAAGCTTTCTCAATTTAAATGTCTGGATCCACAGTGAGTTTGAGTGCATTGCATTGCTTGGAAACATGCAAATAAGCATTTGTTTTTTTTTTTTACTTTAATGGAATGACTATGACCTGAATGACTGAGAATCAGCAATCTGGTTTAGATGGACAGTGGTGGTGTGGGACACTTTTATTAAAGTTGCACTCAAGATAAGAAAAATACTGTGTAATAAGGAAAGTACTTTAAATCAAAGCAATTTAATCATAACTTAACCATAAATTTTAGACCCAAAATCCACCCCATTCCTAGCTACAAAAGAATATCGGGAAATCCTTCGACTCAAATGTTAGATCACAACACAAATTGTCAACCAAATCACAGAATTAAACCAGAAATAGAAGCAAAAAGCTTCCAAAAGGAGACAGAGTGCAATAACATGTGCACCGTTTGGGACCAGCGGCTGATTGTCCTCTTTCCTCCATTTTGGCTCCTGCCCGTTCTGAGCACCGGGAGCGGTGCCCAGACAGGGAGGAGAGGGTAGGAGGAATGTGGGGGTGGGGTGCGGGGGGTTTATGGGGTCGGGGACAAAGATGGAAAACATAAAGGGAGGCTGAAACAGACCCACGATCAGGAAGCTGTTTGTGAAATGAAGACGGAAATGAAACGGTGCAGTGTTTCCAGTTTAATTGAAAATGAGAGAGCAGCGTATCGCCTCCCATGAAGAGCAGCGCAGAGAATAGAAGGAGTGATTGGAAGGAGGGAAGCAGAAAGAATAGAGCAGCGTGTAAAGGGCACGCTGCCCAGTTCATCAGTGTGAAGGAAACAATATGGCTCAAGTTTCTTCTGCTCAGCCATTCTGAACTGCTGAATTCATTATTTCTGCATGTTGGAGTCTTTTGCATGCATGAGTTTTTTTTTTTATGTTTGTGTCTATGAGATACTGGGAAAATGTCTTTTGGATGCGTGTTTCGGTACTGGAGTGTGTGTGGCTTTTTGGCAGCCTGTTCTCCAGATGCACCACTTTTTGTATGTGGTGATATATTAAATGGTTGAAGAAGACATTTCTTTGGGTTTCCTGTGAGCAGAATAGGATCTCCTCCTCTCTGCTTTTTAACAGACAATTACAGGATAGGATTTGCTCTCCTGGCTCAGCTGTGCTTTGAAAAGCTTACATGAATATCTCAAAATTAGCAGGAAGCTCTTGAGGAAAAAAAAACCCCACTTTCTTCCATGAGATAAATTACACCATGCTTGTATGAAAGCTGTTGCTTGCTTTGCAAGCTATTTACTCACCTAAATCTTTCTCTTTACTCCCCCAGGTGTCCCCTCTAAAAGGAGGTATAAACGGCGTGAGGTGGAGCAGATCCAGAAGGACGTCAGGAGGATGCATTCTTTGAACTTTGATCACGTGCAGAAGATCCTTCGTGCCAAACGTCTGCAGCGACAAGCCAAAACAGGAAATAATGTCATCAAGAGGCGGCCCGGGCGGCCCCGAAAGCAGCCCTTAGAGGAGTCACAGCCGGCCAGCACCAGGGAGGAAGTCTGGGCTGATGCTAGAGGTCTGGATGGACTGGCCAGCAGGAAAAGCGAAGGGAGGACTTTGGGTATGCCTGTTCTCGAGAGGTGCGATAACCTGCCAGGTAGGCATAGCCTCAGGCAGAGCCTGAGCCTCGAGCATCAGGAACTCCCAAATCACGACTCCATCTCTGCGACGATCGAGACGGTGGTGCATCAGGCACGGACTGTGCCGCCTCCAGTCAATAAAGAGGGCAAACGCAGAGGCAGGGGCCACAGCAGGGATGAACTGTGGGCCCCTTGCAGCCAGTAGAACTGCACCGAAAAACAAATGTTAGCCCTGAACTGAAGGTAGAACCGTTAGAATGGTGGCTGCTTCAGGGCCCTAAAAGATGCAGTGCCCTCATTTTGGGGACTCTTTGATGCACTTTGGCTTGTTTCTCCTGTCGGGTTGGTTTCGAGGAGCTCAGCAGGGCGGAGCAGCAACGATGCAGCAGGAGGAACAACAACCTCCTTCAGTCTGCAGAAGCCCCATCCAGACAAGGGCCTTTCAAAGATCCACCTGAACTTTCTTCAAAAACGGCACTCTGTGGTATTCTTTGATACTAAATCTGATGCTATAAAAGTGTGTGGTACTTATGATAGAGTAGGCTTTCATGTGATTCTTAATGTGTCTGATACAGTGACGTGTATGGTACTTTACGATACAGTATCTGAATGTGGCTTTAGCCATATATTTTACCAGCAAATGGGAAGGGGGGGTTGGTTAATATAAAACTGTGCAGCTCTGCTTATTTTTTTTACTTTTTGTGGAAGCTTATCAAAGGCATGCAGAATAATACATCAGTAATTAACCCTCCCTACCCTGTGTATGATTTCCCATTCTAATGTATTTTCCAAGCTTTCTTGTTCCCCTTTAGAAGAAATTTACACTTCCTGGCAGCTCATCTTCCCGGTTTAACCCCCAGTTTGCTCCTACTGATGTTTTCTGTCTGCAGTCCTTGAGCTTCCCTGTTTCAGTCTGTTCGTCATGTACTGCGCCCCTCATGCTCAGGCCGCTCCTGGGCAGGGAACTGAGGCAATACGGTGGCTAAGACTTGTCCCCCGACTGTACATAGAACTGAAAGTCCACTGTTGCCTGCCTTGTACAATGGGGGGAAAAAACCAGCTCATAGATGTGTACTGGCTTCCAGTATATTAAATAGAAATGTAGATAATGAAAGTGTGTATTGTTTTATAACCAAAAACAGACATGGGTGTGACTCAAGACAAGTATGTTTTCAGACAGAAGAATACCACGTATATTCATTCATATGCTCATTATTGTGTTTGTATTCCAGGGAGGGGAGCCTTGGATAAAAGAGGAATGTGTGTTTTTTGGTGAACTTTTGGAGTTTGTTAAATGCACTATGAAGAGCCGTTCACTTGCATCAATCAAAAAAAAAATGCAGCACTTATATGCTTGTTTAAGCCTTATGTGTTCTTTGCATCCGCTGGTTTGGGCGTCCACTCCAGAGAGCATGCGTTGCTTTTGCTTTTGTTCTTTTTGTTTTTTTTAATCAATTCGTATATGCAGGCCACACAGCCAAAAAGCAATTAAAAAACACAATAAGCCTGAGTCTAAGTCGAATTTGGACAGTTCAGACTCCCCCACCCCAACCTACCACTCTTTCCCTATTGCAGCTGATTTCCGTAAAGCAATTCCAGTGTTTTAATTTTGAAACCAAAGTCTGAGTATAAGGACTTAGTATTTGAAAGTATGGCAAACTTCCCACCACATTGGCAGCGATGTAAACCATTCCTATGTGCACTGTAGAATGTAGCCACGATGGATTCCTGTATTGATAAGCCTTTTAACTTAAAAAAAATACTTAAATCTGTGTTTGGGACTCAGTGGGATTTTTTTCTAGAGCCATCAATTTTAGTCCAGCGTTTCTTTGGCAACTTTTTTGCTCCAGCTGATTCCGTATCCTTTGGGTCGGATAATATTCCCAGTTGCAGCAGCTCAACTTGTGCCTTATGTTTCCTTTCTATCACTAACTGTTTTTGACTGAAGGAACAGAAAATGGCAAGTATCCCCCACACACACACACAACCACCACCACCCAGATAACGACTCAAGTGTATTCATGATTGTGCATAACTGTTACATCGTCAGTCATGAGAACCCTGATGCTGCCCTTATCCCTTCACATCTCTCTGTCTCTGGGCTTTCTTCTAGTTTTCTGATCCCTATTATCCTGAAGCAGCCGGAGTGGCTGTATTTAATACACGTCATGTACTGACCTAGAAACCACCATGCAGCTGCAGCAGAAACAGAAAAACCCACTGAGTCAGACGAGCTACTGTCAGGAGATATCGATTCTTCTCAGTGTCTTGACGTGTAATTAAGATCTCTCGTTCCCTCAGAGAAAAAAAAATGTCCGATAAAATGAGGAAACAAAGCAGCTGTCAAAAAGAAACACATTTGCGTTTATTGCTTGCTATGCATCCGGCCATGTATCTGGCGACGACCTTAAATAAGAAGTCATGTCCTGGGTCCATCCTTCGACAAAGAGAATTAAGTGGTCTTACTTGCTGAATGAGGTGAATTAGTGTTAGGAGGATTGTGAATAATATCAATAATAGTTTGTAATAATGATAATAAAGTTGTGCAGAAAGTGACTATCATTTCAAGAAAACTATACTTACTGCCTCTCTATGCAGTACAGCCTTAATAAGATGTAAACCTACAGCGTTGACGTGTTTGATGTAAATAGTGTTATTTTGTGTCTGTCACGCGTGGATACTACCCAGGGCCGCCCATTAAAGCCATCCGTCTCCGTCACGACTGAAGCACACTGACAGAAATGACAATAGTAACGGAATCTGATCCCAGGCATGGGCCAGATATTAAGATACACCAAGGTTCTAAAAAGATATGGCTTCATAAACCGCTAACGCTCTGTCATTCGTGTTCCTTATTTTAAGTCCTGAGGTTACAGCGATGAGATGATGATGAGATGAAGATCGGGTTAAAAGCAACTTAAAAATTATGTATATTTTATGTTTTTACTTTTTTTATGTATCGGCATCAAATTAGCTGCTTTCCTGTTCTGATTTTAAGAGATTAGGTCACACTATGCCTTAATGTTTAACATTTTCTTGCTAACCAAATACAGATAATTTTATTCCTGGTTTATATCATTGGAATTTCTTAGTACACTCATTAGTCCAGCCGATTAAGTTTCAGGTCTGCTAAAAGTTATCCTTCTTACTACCTTGTGAAACATCTTAAAGGCCCATCTGTAGTCTTCTCAACTAAAAATGGATCTCTGCTGACTTTTGGCTCCTTTTGCTTGCAGCCAGAAGGTGCTTTGCTGTAGCACGGAGCAGGGCTGTTTGTGGGGGAGTTCTCAAAGGAAAAAGCCAAAAATACTCCCAACCTAATGCTAGCATGCTTAACCCGTCTTTGGTAGATGACTTTCTATGAGTCTCACATTTGTTTTGGTAAAGGTTAGGTCTTTGCCAATGGGCTGCTTACGCCTCTGTGCTGTGGTGGGGTGGTGGTCTCTAATGGTGGGGTTAAAGGCCCCTGGTAATTTCTCTGCTGTCCTGTCTGTTGTGTCTCTTCTTCTACCAGCCAATGCTCCAGTGCCTTCTAACACTGACAAGTATTGCCCTAATCCAGAGCTTTCAGTCAACACTGAGACTTCAGACAGGATGTGTGGGATTCATGTTCCTGTTAGCAACCGGTCAGGGTCAGATGGTTCACGACATGCTGATATCTGATCAGTTCCTAAAGATTTCCTACTCTGTGAACATTTTCCCCACATGTTTTCGCTTTTTAACTGCAAACTTCAATGTGGGTGTCATTTAGGTTCTATGTGACAGACCAACACTCGAGTAATGCAAATATATATGGTTTTTCATGGTTTTTCTACATGCAGGTCAAATAATTTTATTTATGCATCTCATTTCAACAACACATGTTGAATCTAATCTTACAGGCATCTTACCAATTAAGTTCATGCATTCGATTTTGTTCTACTTATGACATAATACAGTAATTCAGATTATTTTTAAATTTGGTTAAAAACTTTAGGAAACTGAGCAGATTGTATTATTCCCTCCTCCTGGATGGGCATGTTATGTAACTGTAGTAAACAGCTGTTTGCAGCGTGTTGATTTTGCAGCAATCCGGCATGCCGAGCATGTTTAAGACGACAGTCGAAAAAAGATACTCCCTTTTAACAGTAATAAAAAGCTTAAAATCGGAAGATATTTGGTTACATTTGCAATCAGCGCCAATAATTCAGTACTTTGTAGAACCAGGTTTGTGCGTCTCTCTCTTTAGGTATGTACTTTGACTATGCCATTCTAAACCATCACATTGTACTAATGGCCATATTCTTTAAGCCACTGTCCTACTGGAAAGTGAATTTCTCTTCACTGCTGAAGAAAAATATCCCAGCAGTATGATGCTGACACCACCGTATTTCATAGGAAAGTGACATAAAGTGTTTCCCATTTTACCTCCACAGAACTGCTGCATTCACACTGAGATAAATTCACCTACAGGTGGACTCCATATATTTATGATATGACATTAGAAGGCAGTTGGTTTTAAGCAGTCTTTATTTATGGGTATCAGATTTAGGAAAATTTGATAGATGTGGATGCATCACTTACTGAGTTTTTATTTGGGAAACATTTTTAAAACCATGCATCACCTTATTTTACTCCTCGATTAATTACTATTTTGTGTTGTTCTGTCGCATAAAACACATGTGATCATGCAGTTGTAACAGAATAATGTTAAAAGGTTTAAAGGGCATGAATAGATTTGTTAGAGTCTGTAAGCATATTTGAACTTGTTTGCAGCTTTTTATGTACGATTCCGCCACAGTGAGATCATGTTTGATGAGACATATTAACCAATAGATTGTGCTCTTATTACCCTGATAGCATACAGTGGCAGTCCTTCACCTTGACGTAACGGGGGGGCAGGGGGGTATTTCAAGTCATAAACGTTGTCATCCTTCCAGCATCAGTTTCCCATTCAAAGCTGTAACGTTCCGAACTGAGAGATCAGACGAGGCATTGAGAAAACCAATAAACGTACTTCTCTAGAGCACAAAGTGAGCTCTTCTAAAAGCGTGGGCATATTTTAATTTGTATACATTGTGTATTTGAACCTTTTTCTAGAGTGGCGCTCCTTGATTTGCATGCCCAATTTTGATTGTATGCATAAATATTTTAGACAAGTTGAATTTCAATTGAATTTGAACCAAGACTTGTACATTGTTTGATATGTTTCTTTTTGTAATGAATTTTTTAATTCATGAGGCATTTTTGTACATTGTATGAATATTAAAAACTGCAAATATTTGACATATAGAGTAAATACTAGATGCACATGCATATGCATATATTCCTCACAGTATGTATGTGTAATCCTACACATATATTTTGTATTCGCATTCGCCAGCATACAGATATATGTCCTAAGCACATATATACCTGTATTATATATGTATATCCATGTCTGCTGGCATGCTTTCGGTCATGTTTCTCTTTCATGATCTTGTAGGTTATTTTTGTTTGTTTTTATTTTTTTTTTTTATTCCTCTTTCCTGAAAAAGAAATGCTCATTTTTTGCTACCCTTCTGTTGGCTGGCAGCCTTGAGCACTTATTAAGAAGAACTACAGTTGAAGTGTTCATGTTATCCATTGTGTGAAATAATAAATGACTTTATTGACAGCTTGCAGTGGTTCATGCTTTCTTCTTTCTGTCAGAGATTGGGTTGTTATCCTGTTCCCCTTAAAACTGCATGGTCACATGCTGAGATTTGCCTGTGTTGGTGTGTGTATTTGTGCGTGTATAGAGGTGTGATGGAGGGAGATGACAGGCAGCAGGGTTACTGCACTGCTGAATTTAAGATGCTCTCAGTGAATGACTACCACTCTACAGTGTTGCAGGTAAATGAGGAAATCCTCTCATCATATTATACTGCAGGATCACATACACACACACTCTCTTCATCCAATCTCAAAATAATTTTTTGCACAAGCCCATCGGTGTCAGTTCGAGGTGGGCCGGGCTGGAGGCTGTTCTGTCATTGGACAGAGGTGAGCGCAAAGTGCCCCGCTATTGGCTGCTGCCAACTAGTAAAAATCTCCTGTTACCATGGTTGCAGAGTGAGCTGCCCAAATGTGTCTCAGTGCATCTGGTGGTTCTGATGGAGCTGTTGGCACCACTGGTGTTCTACACAAAAAAAAAGAAGGAAAAAAAACACTGATGGAAAGAAGTCAGAGAGTGGCGAGCCTGTACCCGAATCACTCTGATGGCTGTAAATGAGCCCACATGGCTCGTCTCCACCCTCCTCTGCACGTTAAAGAGAGGCTGAGATGGATGAAGGGTAAAACAGCAGTGCTAAATGTATCTTGCATGATGGATGTGCTCTTTAACCGGAGTGAAAAACAAGCTCATCCATCTGAGCTTCTATGCAGGGATTTTTGTTGATGGGTTTTCTTTTTCTTAAGCTTTACTATCAAATTTGGTTTCATCCCAGACACGTCTGTGTGTATCTGCAGATACAAAGATTACATAAAGCTGTCAACTTCCACAGCTTGAAAGAAAATTGTGATTCAACTGTTTTACACCAAACAGTCCAGCTTAATATCACTCACATCTCTGGCAAAATGAAATTTAAAGCATTTCATTTTATTTCATCACATTCAAGAGTTCTGTGCTGGAGATGTTAACTTCTCAAATACACCTTAATCAAATGAATGGCTCATTACCAGGCCTCTGCTACAATAAATGACATACAGAGGGGAACTTAGCTGTTAGATTCATGAGCGATTAAGAAGAGATGAATCTAAAAGTTGCAGGAAGGTAGTTTTCAAGGACACCTCTGTAATAGAGAAAATCCTTTGACATTGTTTTACAAGCTGTTGAGATATCCATCTCATTTCTACCTGGAGAGACTCGCAGAGAGAGAAGATGTAATTAGAAGAGTTTATTGACATGAATAATATACAAGTTCTTTGACACTCGGACACCAGCAGAAGACTTTGTGTTCAGAACTGATGGATGATCAGATCAATGGATTTAGGAGAGAGAGGATTAGTCTTCCCCCCGGTGTCCGGACACTGATGGTGGAATAAGCCCAGGATGAATGGGACAGAGCCTGTCCCGAGATTCTCTGCTCGCAGAGGAGAAGGGGTGGAGGTTGGTAGAGAGACGGCTGGTGAGCAGAAGAAACGTCAGGAACTACGATTGAAGAAGGAGACCTTGTAAGTCGATTGGCTGTGGGAAAGGTGCAGTCCTGAGGATGTTTGGCTGAGGTTTATAGGTTGGACTCCAGCAGGTCATCCATGTGAGGCGGATCAGAGTCTTCCGGATGGAATTCATTCTGAAGCTTAATTTCCCTCTCATTATCAGAACTCAACCCTAAATCAGCTGAGCAGTAAACGGTTACTTCACTACTTTTTATTGCATTGGTACAAATCTGGATAAGTTTTATTTCAAAACCTTGAATGAAAAAATGTAGACAGTCTGGGTTGTTTTATCCAAACATGGAACCAGACTTTCATTTTCCAGATTTTAAGAGCTTAGGATTGTACAATACCGGATCTCAATCTGCATAGTCTTAAACCTTTATTTTGTTTGAATTCATTTGAAAATATTGGATGTTCATTACTTTCTTTGCCATCTAAATAACACTAACTACATATAACTAAAAAAATAAAGAAGTACTGGCCGTTATAAACTGGGAGGGGATTTATTCCTGATCAGTATGTTGAGTAAAATTTCATGTTTGAGGCAAATCAAAGATAAACACTTTGAATATAATTTATTTTATTTTTTTAGAGTTTTTAAAATCTATTCTATTACAAAGTAGACCAAGGGATCCAAAAATATATTTTTCCACACTTTTTAAAAAGGATTTACACTTTTGCAAACCAAGGAATTAAACATTTTTCATGGACTTAAATGTCAGGGCTCAGAGCAGAGGACCCAGTATTCACAGCAGACAGACGTTTTCTCAAAAAGTTTTTATTTAAAATCACGGATTGACAGTGAGCAGTTAGTACTTAAATTTAGTACTTAAATCATATTTTAAATCACAGTTTCAGAAACTCTTTCATTGAAAGAAAATCTCAAAAATAAGAGTATGTTAGAATGTTTTGTTTTGGCATCCAAACTGAACCCAGTACAAAATGGTTGGCTTTAGTTTTGAATTCAACAAGAAAAGAATAAAAAGACAAAAAAAAAAATTACTAGGAAAAATTTGTGTGTGTGTTGGTGTGTGATGTGGTTCATGTTTTTTCTAACTTTTGGGGACTTAAAAGTACTTTTGGGGGCCAATGACTGGTCCCGTGTGTGTAATTTAACATGACCTTAAAACTAACATTAAGTTGGAGTAAACAAATAAAGCCTTTTGTGGCAAACCAAAATTTATGATATTGCTCTTAATACGAACAATTAATGAGTAAATGCTTAACTAATAATCTTAAATGTAGACTCGTCTTTGGGAAAATGGAGTAGCAAAAAAATCTTTGAATTATTTTTTCCCCCTTTGCAGGGATGAGAAATCATTTTGTAGCCAACTATTGATATTTTTTTTTTCAGATGTTCTTAAAATGTTTGAAGTTAAAGAAACCGCAGCATCTAACAAACAAAATGTATTGAGATTGTTTGGAAAAAAGAAATATTTCAAATTTAGAAATATGTGATTTCAATTTACAACACTATGTAACACACTGGGAGGAACTAACTTTCCATTGAATATATATAGATAAAATCAAAAGAAAAAATATGTAATTTATGTTTTTTTTTTTTTCCATGCTTCCTTTCTAATGTTGCCATGGGCAACTGCACATATGGTATAAATAAAAAAACATCATTGTAATGGGGAAACGTTCCGAAACTCCCTTTATGTTTTGATTTTTCTTCTTGATAGCACAAATGAATATAATTAATAATATCTGAATGAGTTGTGTTGAAGCTAAAAAAAAACTCAATAAAATATTCTGGACAGTAGGCCTGAGATTGGGAGCCTGATGCTGCTCTACAGATAGAGGCTCATAAATATAAACTTGGAGTCAGTCAGCAACAAAAATCATGCTTGTCTTGCAATGAAATGACTAAAAACACCTCAAGCCATAAAATATTAGTAAAGAACAGCCTAGTAACTGAGCTTTGAGACGTACATGACATAATATGTTGTGAGCTATCTCCAGTAATGTTGTTTAGATTTTTCTTCTTTAAGTATTAATGTAACCTGACGAACCACAGATGTCACCTCTCCTCATACAGCATCTGTCTTTTCTGCCTTACATTCATATATTTATTTACTATTTTTAATTTACTAGTTTAATTTTACTTAAATTAGACAATTATTTTGAATAAAAACGTTATTTAACAATTATATATATTAATGCTAATTGCATTTTTACAGGTTGGTCACTCAAATGCTTATTAATCTACTTATTTATTTACACTTTTTATACCCTCAATAAGGACACATCCAGTTTGATGACACCATATAAATAATATTCAATACAATTCTAATCTAAAATCTCATCTAACCTAAAACATCATGCTCCTACTAAATCATGTACCTGCTGTTCCCCTGCAATTTTTACTCTTTGTTTTACAATGACTCATTGAGATTTAGATACTTATATTTGAATATGATTCCAATTTAAAACCTGCAAAAAAGGCAATGGATTATTGTTAAATGAAAACTTATAGACCAACATCTCTCACACTAAGGATCATGTCACATGAAACAAAAAGGCAGTTGCATTACAAAACACTGATCCATTAAAAAAGCTTATGTGCATGGGCCATAATGCATTGTCTTAATCACGCACATGAAAACTGTTAAAAACGTATATAATAACACTATATCGCTGTCATGATGATCACTCAATCTAAAGCAAGCCTGTTACATGTCATTTAACAATGATCAACTATATGCTTTTCAGGAAGTGAACAATAACACAGAAAAGAAACTTACCATTGCAATGCCATTATTCACTCACTATCAGAGATTAAAGGAATAGTACACGCAAAACATGATTAGCTTTCATTTTCTACTCACCCCCATGCTGAACAACACTCTGGAGTACTTTTTTGATATCTCAAATGCATCTGGAGATCTGGGAGGCTTCTTGCTGTCTGCTGACATTCAAATAATGGAGGTCTATGGTGCCCGAGACAGAAAGGTCCATAAAAGTCCACAAAAAACGTGTCAATATTCCTCCATACTGCTCGTCCAATGTATTCCAAGTGTCCTGAGTGGGTAGCATCCAGAATTTACTCGAAACGAAGTCATTTAGAATGTTTTTAGAGCATAAACAGTAGTGTATAGGATTTCCTGAAAGCGCGCACCTGCGCGTTCACAATGCTACGGAAGCCGGCAGACCAAACCAGATGAAAGTGCGCATTCACCGTCTGCTCTGCCAATAATGCAAGCGTAGAAGAAGAAATGTGCTGTTTACCTGTGCAAAGAAAGAAACAACGAAAGAAAAATGTCTGAGGACTTCAGTGTTGAGGAAGAGCATGAGTTCTTTGCTGAGCTGAATGCGCTGGTTTGGTCTGCCGGCTTCCGTAGCGTCGTGAACGCGCTTTCAGGAAATCCTATACACTACTGTTTATGCTCTAAAAACATTCTAAATGAGTTTGTTTCGAGTAAATTCTGGATGCTACCCACTCAGGACACTTGGAATACATTGGACGAGCAGTATGGA